TATATATGATAACTGGTGTTTTTTGCTTCCCAAACCTTTTCTGTCCTTTGGGCTCACTTGAGCAATATTGAGTTGGCTAGTTCCAAGCAAGTACAGGGCTAACCTCTGGAGGACTGTAAACTCGGAGAGTTCTGCAAACAAAGCCTGAGGCCCGCTTCCTCTAATACACATTGCAGTTTTATTGTTCTTATCCATATTACCAGGAGATATGTGTCAACATAAGCTGTGGGTCCTGTACAGGCCTGTCCATCTTTCTCATGAACACCGATTACATCCTCAGTTTTATATGTATGAAATGAGTAGTGTTGTCTTCATAGAGTTTGTTTCCCCTGTGTGTAGTCGTGTGGCAGGCTGGTTATTGTCTGTCTGTACAAGGCAGTCTGTGTGTGTCTTAAAATGTAATTCTTTAATTTTTTCCATTCAGCAGGATGCACCTCCTTCCTCAGATGCCAAACATCTGCAAGCACCAGCATCACTTGCACACAGTCCAGGGTCTGGGGTCGCGCTCTGGCATCTGCTGCACCCGCTGCAGCCAAAAGAAGTGGCCTGATGTACTGACGACATCTCAGTCTGCCAACAACATAAAATCCAGCAGAAATGGCTTCAAGTGCTCCAGATCTGGGGAAATCACCATCCTGTCTGTGGGCAGGTCAGTGTCTTTTGGGCTCTAAAGGGTCAGTCCAGTTAGAGGTGCAGTCTGGTGGCGTTGGGGAGTCATGCCTTGGCTTATTGTATCTCTGGGGACTCCAGTACTGAGATCTCCTTGCTGTAGACTTTGGCTTTTTTTTCTGTTCTGTTCTCCAAAAAATTAAATTTAAAGGGTCCGTCCACTAAAGACCATCTCATCTTTATTGGTGAGCTCTCTGGGCGGAGTTCCTTCTGTGCCCATTAACAGGGGTTCCTACCGTCCTTCCTGGAGGTTTTAATTTTAGTCCTGCCGGAATTAATGGCAGGAAGATCTCATTCTTCAAAGATCCAAGACAGGACTCGGTCCATCAGCCCCAACGTGTAACTAACATTACTTTTTGCTGGATTAATCCAACAGGGAGAACCGGATTTATAACATTAGCTGACACATTGGTTAACTGATTTATTGGTTAACTGGGAGAGCAGACATTTCAACTCAGGAATCCCAGGAAGGATTATAAAAAGCCATTAGGTGGTTTAAAGTCTATGCATACCCCAACGATAAACTCCTCCTATTTGTTCCCTATTGGTATACCATTAAACGTTGTTTTGTTGGACTACAGTAATGTTAGTTCCTGCGTTGTGAAATGAGAGATTAAGTAGTTAAGCAAAAGACACCTGGGCAGGGCTGACACCATTCAGTCCACAAAAATGCTGTGTGTGTGTCACCAGTCCACAAAAAAAAAATTAGAAGCGGATGCATTTCTGACAGATCCAAGTCCATTTCTGTATTTGCAGGGTCTTTAACCACTTGCCGTCCGCCCGTTGTAAAAAAACGGAGGGACGGCACTGCAGCATTGGCGGGTTGCCGTCTCCATACGGCATTTTTTTATGCTCGCGCGCGCCCCCTAGCGGGCACGCACGGGCAGAAAAGACCTGACCAATGCAAACACCCAAACACCCGTTACCGGGTGTTTCACATATAGGCGATCAGCGGCTCCATAGCCCGCCGATCGTCTATATGTGCTCGTTCGCGTCCAACCACCGAATACTGAAAAATGGCCTGGATGGGAAGGGGGTTTAACACCGCGGATGTCAACTGGTTAAAGGGAAGTGTGTAATGTATTGCAGAGATGCGCTGCAGATGCATTTTAACTCTTCAATATATTGCAAAAATGGAAATGTGGAATGTCAGGTGCGCTGGCCCTTTTAAAGACTGACATCAGCCATTTCTAGGGGTTCTTGTGCATCAAACTAACCTAAAAAGACCGTTCAGGGCAAACAGACCGTCTCTTAAAATGAATATAAAGAAATTCTTCGCTATGGAAGCTCTCAAAGTAATAAATAAAAATCAAATGTAAAAGATGAAAAGCTGCCGTGCTAATTAAAGGAGAACTATGAGGTGAGTGAAAATCACTCATACTCATAGGTCGAGCCGACGTGTGACAATGAAACTCGCACATCGACTGTATAGATCGGGAAGTGAGCGAACACATACCGTCGCTCGCACACTAAAATTAGATCAAAAGTATGCACGGTCTCTTTAAAGCCCACCGCTGACCTACTTTCCTTCGATGTGGTCTCCAGCCGCTGTATTGAAGCCACCGCAATATACTCGGAAGGCGCTTACGCCTGTTTGGACTGCGGAGGAAATAAATTGGTGGTGGACTTTAAAGGGAGGGAGAGAGAGTCTCTGTGAGTCAGTTTGTTGACCTAACCTGTTCTAGGGAAACCGCAGTAAGGAGTTCAGTTAGTTGCAAATGGTAGTTGTGCGCTTGTGTCCTTGATGCCTAAAGAGCTTCACATAATTCCAGACTTCAATGACTGTGGATATGTTTTCCAGGTTCCGTGTGGCTCGTATACCAGAGCAGAAGACAAACCCCCCTGAGCTGAACGCCATTTCTGAAGTCGGTGGTGGAGATGGCCAAGATGTCCCCAGCAGTGAACCTCCTGAACAAAGAGTGCTGCTGTGTGAAACCGTGAGGACCAAAAATCACAGTCTAGAAGACACCAGCAAGCTGGAGGTAAAGCTTGTGTTATTCTCCTATTGTGTAACGCAGGTCATAGATTGTACAATCCGATTGCAACATCTCCTTTTTATAGTTCCTAAAACAATGTAACGTGAGCCTACCTAAATAATCTGTTTTTAGTTGGGATTCAATCAGACAGAGCCCCGCACATAGTTGCTGGTACCTCCTATTGAAGACTGTAGAATCAAATTTGTAGTATTTTAAATGTCGACCCTCCAGCTGTGGTGAAACTACAAATCCCATAAGACATTGCATGACTGACAGCCACAGTTATGACTCCCAGAGTCAGATGCATTCTGGGATTTGCAGTTTCACCACAGCTGGAGGGCCAGAGTTTGGCTAGGCCTGATGTAAGCCCAATCACTAATCTGTAATACAAGTTTTTACTTGTTAATACAATTTTAAATGGTTTTTCAATTATTTTGAATCTGCAGCATAGATAACACTTCCAAGAAGTCCCTTTCTTCAGGCACTGTAATTGAATGACAATACTCTGTGCCTGTCTACCTAATGTGCTCTGGAATGGTCACCCTGTCACGGGGGCTTTTAATGGACTACAAGTGACAGATATAACGCACATTATGCAGGCATGGTCCAGCCATTGCTGAAGTGCATGTGTGCAGGAAGCGGCTGTAAAGATGCTTCATTCACACCATGCTAGTAGGGATTCCTGCCACAGAAACGGACGGTAGGAATCCCAAACGTTCCGTTTAGCTGCGGCCGCTGTACTGGTCAAGTGTCACTAAACTTAGGAGTTAATCTTAAAAATACATACAAGTCCCTTTAACTATTAACAGAAATGTATCTTATTTGTGTATCACTCGGCTGTAGATCCTCCAATCATCTCTGACTTGGTGCTGACACTGTCCTTCCTTCTGGAGGGGGGCTGCTTTTGTTCCCCCTGGTCCCTGTGTGTGTTGTAAAGTAGTCACCGCTCCAAGCTCACTCCTGTGATGGACTACAATCTCAGGTGTAGTTTACTAACTTGTATTAAGATTGTAGTCCATCACTGGTGATTTCCCCAGATCTGGAGCACTTGAAGCCATTTCTGCTGGATTTTATGTTTTTGGCAGACTGAGATGTCCTCATTAGGCCACTTCTTTTGGCTGCAGCGGGTGCAGCAGATGCCAGAGCGCGACCCCAGACCCTGGACTGTGTGCAAGTGATGCTGGTGCTTGCAGATGTTTGGCATCTGAGGAAGGAGGTGCATCCTGCTGAATGGAAAAAATTAAAGAATTACATTTTAAGACACACACAGACTGCCTTGTACAGACAGGCAAAGCAGCGGTGGGCGCTTGGGGTAGATTTAATGTGACACTAAACTCCGGCGTTAAATCTTTAAAATACATTCAAGTCCCCTATTAACAAAATGTATCTTATTTGTATATCACTCGGCTGTAGATCCTCAAATCATCTCTGAATTGGCGCTGACACTGTCCTTCCTTCTGGGGGGGGGGCTACTTTTGTTCCCCATGGTCCCTGTGTGTGTTGTAAAGTAGTCACCGGTCCAAGCTCACTCCTGGGATGGACTACAATCTTAATACAAATTGGTAAACTAAACCTGAGATTGTAGTCCTTCATGAGAGCGAGCTTGGAGCGGTGACTACTTTAAAACACACACAGGGACAATGGGGAACAAAAGTAGCCCCCCTCCAGAAGGAAGGACAGTGTCAGCACCAATTCAGAGATGATTGGAGGATCTTCAGCCGAGTGATACACAAATAAGTTACATTGTTGTTAATAGTTATGGTACTTGAATGTAATTTTATGATTGAACTCCTGAGGTTAGTGTCACTTAAAGTAAAGTAATGTCTTTACTGTTCAGTCTGATTCTAGTCCCCTATAAAGTGGACCTTCACAGTACATGGTTATGTAGCTGCTGACTTTTTCCCTGTGCCCGGTGACGTTCCTCTTTATGCAGCTCTTTGAGCTTCCAAATATCAATATCCACAAGTCACTTTGTACCTTTCCATTCACCGCTGTACTTTTTGTCCCCTCGGCCCTCACTAATGAGCTCTCCCGGGAATCTTGTCAGCAGTCACTTCCCTCCCCCGGAGGTCACTGAAATGGAAGCTAAAGCTTGTAACTGGCAATGCGTTTAGTATTTTTAACACTTGATGAGCAATACCATGGTTTTTTTTTTTTATTTATAATTTTTTTTGGGGGGGGTGGGGTTCCCCCAGAAAACACACTTAATGTCATTCAAACACACTTTGGTCATTCAGCATGCGGGCGGTGTAAAAGAACAGGCAAAGGGTGTATGGCCAGCTTTAGACATGCACTGCATTGTGGCATTTGGGCAGGGCTGTCGGCCCCAGTTTATTGCTGCATTGTGGGATATGGGCAGGGGTGTCTGAGCCCCAGTTTATTGCTGCATTGTGGGATATGGGCAGGGGTGTCTGAGCCCCAGTTTATTGCTGCATTGTGGGATATGGGCAGGGGTGTCTGAGCCCCAGTTTAGTGCTGCATTGTGGGATATGGGCAGGGGTGTCAGAGCCCCAGTTTAGTGCTGCATTGTGGGATATGGGCAGGGGTGTCTGAGCCCCAGTTTAGTGCTGCATTGTGGGATATGGGCAGGGGTGTCTGAGCCCCAGTTTAGTGCTGCATTGTGGGATATGGGGAGGGGTGTCGGAGCCCCAGTTTAGTGCTGCATTGTGGGATATGGGGAGGGGTGTCAGATCCCCAGTTTAGTGCTGCAGTGCACTGCATTGTGGGATATGGGGAGGGGTGTCTGAGCCCCAGTTTAGTGCTGCATTGTGGAATATGGGCAGGGGTGTCGGAGCCCCAGATTAGTGCTGCATTGTGGAATATGGGCAGGGGTGTCGGAGCCCCAGATTAGTGCTGCATTGTGGGATATGGGCAGCGGTGTCGGAGCCCCAGATTAGTGCTGCATTTTGGGATATGGGCAGCGGTGTCGGAGCCCCAGATTAGTGCTGCATTGTGGGATATGGGGGAGGGGTGTCGGAGCCCCAGTTTAGTGCTGCAGTCGCCATTTTAGTTTTGGGGGGTCCTGCAGTATCGTTGTATGTAATAGAATATCAGAGTTCTCGCCAAACCGCAATGATAGCGTTTCACCCCTCAGTGCAGTGATTTTAATTGGTCATACCCTCTGATGAGTTACAGTAAGCTGATCACATGGCTGCCAGCGAAGGCCCAAAAACTCCATTGTGACATGCTGCTGTCCAGGACAATGTCATGGGGAGGGGGGTTTGGCTGCAGTGACTCCAGCATCCCACTCGGAAACCATTGTGTGACTATGAGTGTTCATAGGAGGCAGTGTCACCAGAGACCTCATTGCCCTGATGTGAGCTGATCATGGCCCAGCTCAGTGGAAAATGTGCATTGTAGGTTCAGGTCTTCTTATGAGCTCTGTGGAAATATTAAGGACAATGGACGGGGACCAGAGAAGAGATCAGAGACTCCATGGCGGAGATGCATGTGCAGCGACTGCAGAGCAGCCTCAAGGACACGATGCTCCTTCATGCCGTGCGTCCTCCGGCTGTCAGAGGCAGCTGCAGCGACGTCATTTCTCCCCTACACATCATCCATCTCTGCTGCAGCGATACCAGCTCATTGATTTCTATTCACACTCTAATGGGGAAGATCCTTATAGATGAGCACAGGGTGAAACGCATACAGGGTTGTCTCTAGCACAACTGCAGAGTGCTGGAGTCCAGGTCCAATTTCAGTTTAGAGGATTTCCAATTGTTATGCGTTTCCATTTTGCAGAAAGGCTCTTCAAAGTGGAACTTTTAGTAACTTTTAAAGTCTGCAAAAACTAATGCCAAACGTGTCACAATAAACAGCAGGGACGTGCAGTCAGGGGAGGCAGAGCCTCACCTAGATTAATGGAGGAAAAATCTGTCAGCTTCATGTCTGAAGCTGACAGCTTTTTCTCCATTCAGATCAGCTTCTATCAGGTTACACAGCAGGGAAATCCTCCCCGCTGTGTAACCTGTCACGGACGGAACGCCTCAGCAGTGAGGAGCAAGTGAGGGACAGGGAGGCTCCTCCCTGTCTCCTACCTTCCTCCTTTACACTAGCTTGGGGATGGGGGCTTCGCCTGGTGGGGGCGGAGCCTTGGTCCGGCAGGGTGTGAGGCTGGGTGATGCCTCACCTGGAGCAAAAGGTACCGCACGTCAATGATATACAGTATTTAATAGGGATGCACAGATACTTGGCACTTACACGAGAACTAGCAGGGTTGCAGCGGTTGCAGCTGGGACCGGGCTCTGGCGCTCCACCACTGTCCTGAAATCATTAGTCTGTATTGTTTTAGAAAAACTGTCACATGACACTAAGCAAAAATGTATCAGTACTTTTATATCAGTAACTATAAGGACTGACTCTGATATCCACTGAGTGGCCAGATTATTATGACCACCCCATCAGTACTTCGTTGGGCCGCCTCGTGACTCCACGAGATGTTGAAAGGTGATGCGAGGAATCTGACACGGCACTGTTGCCCTTCTGTTGTCTTGTACCAGTCTTGCCACTCTCCGTTCTGCCCTAACATTGACTAGTCGCTGACGGCCACAATTCGCACGTTCAGACCCAGATTTTCGGCTGACAGTCCAGTCTTTAAACACTTTAACAACAGCTGCTCTTGAACATTTAACGAATTCTGCTGTTTTGCTGATACTCGCTCCATGGCTCCGAGCGCCAACAATCATCCCACGTTCAAAGGCTGTTAAATCGCGTTGTTTACCCGTATCTTCAGAAACAAATCACTTCTGTCGTGGTAACCAACCTGCTTCCCTATTTATAATGGTCTGGCCCTCTAGCAACTTCAGCGCCAAATTATAGCTAATTTGCCTACAAACGTCAGGTGGTCATAATAATCTGGCCACTCAGTGTGAATGTAACTGTAAGGACTGACAATGATATAAAGAACTATAAGGTCTGACACTAATATACAAGGAACTATAAGGTCTGACACTGATATAAAGAACTATAAGGACTGACACTGATATACAAGGACTATAAGGTCTGACACTGATATACAAGGAACTATAAGGTCTGACACTGATATAAAGAACTATAAGGACTGACACTGATATAAAGAACTATAAGGTCTGACACTGATATACAAAGACTATAAGGTCCGACACTGATATACAAGGAACTATAAGGTCTGACACTGATATACAAGGAACTATAAGGTCTGACACTGATATACAAGGAACTATAAGGTCTGACACTGATATACAAGGAACTATAAGGTCTGACACTGATATACAAGGAACTATAAGGACTGAGGTGTCTTCTGCATCACACGAGTGTTGTGCGGACAGAATGACAGCCGTGCCTCCAGTGATGAGCCGGCGGGTTGTACCCGGTGGTGACGTGTTGCACACCAGTCTCTCTAAGCACAGGCCGGAAACATTGAGTCACAATTTAGGAGAGACGGCCTTGGGGGTCAGGAGAGGAGAATCGGGAATCGCCCAGACCGGTTTGCTCGCTGAGCAGATGACTAAATAAAGAGTTTTTCTTCTGACACCATCATATCCGTCATCAGAGGGAAATTTTATTATAAGGAAGATGTTCTATGTCCGATGTCAACGAGGGCAATATAGGGGATGTGACCTAAAGATATTCAAGTCCTATTATGGGGACGAGTAATGACGACTATTTTAAAGAACTCCCAGGATTTTTAAAAATTAACCCTTGCAGTGGGGCTGCCCACTATGGGCTTGTTTTGGTCTAGGGATGGAAATGAAGAATACTCACCTGATCCTCGGCCCTGCAGCAGTGACTGCCCACCGCTCCCCACCCCGTCTGCTCTGGCTGTGGTACGTCCCTCAGCATCTTCACATTTAATAGGCGTCCTTAGACCGCCAGAGTCCAGGGGAGAAGAGGTCTAGCAGCCTGATGGGACCGGGGGTCAGGTGAGTATTTCATCTTCATTCTTGCCCCTAGACAAAAACGGGCACTTAACCTTTGCAGTGCAACACACACACACCCCCCCCCCCCCACACTTCAAGGGTTAATTTCTAAAAATCCTGGCGTTCTTCTTTAAAGCTCATCTCCAGACAAATCCTTATTTATTGACTTTGGATAGAGTAGCGAAGGGTTGGGACCTTAAGCTGGCCGTACACATGGGGCTGAATGAGAGCAATCACTGGATTCTCTCACCCACGCTAAACAGCGTAGCTGAAGGAATGTCCCGCTGTGGCTATTGTATTCTGACAGTCGGAACTGGAGCAGTCATAATAAACCCATGCACTGCCTGTAGCTGATTGGCTGCGGTCACTGTTCTGTTGCCAATCTTCTGCGCAGCTCCTTTTATTCTTCATTTGAAGTTTGTTGAGCCAGGTGATGTGGGCAGGGTCACCTGTGCCTTGAATTCAAGTTGTTTCTGGCCTGCTTTAATTATGTTGTTATTGCCGTCTGTAAATGGAAGTCCTAGCTTACACACTGGTCCAGTGCGGTCTCATACTGAATGGACTGGCGGGGGAACCAAGGAAAGCTACGCAATATACTGCAGGCAATGGGATTGCCCAAATGTCTGCCATCTGTAACATTAATGGTTCCTTATGATGTCAATAAATACCAGGTCCCTTAACTTTCTTTTTTGTCTACTTCCCTCTAGGATGTCATCTGACTCCGCCCAGCTTGCGTGAACAGCCATTCACCTGCACAGACACGAATTGCGGTGGGAGGGTCCTCCTGCCAATCCGGAGAGGTCTCACTCGGGCGCACATGGTGGGGAGTATATGGCGCAGACCTGTCCACAGCACCACATTGCACCGCATTTTAAGTTTTATTACCCCTCAAGGGCAATGCCGGAGAAATTCTCGCCCTCCGCAAGTGCGATTCAGGGATTTCTGCGAGTCCGAAGCAGCGGGAAGTGACTTTGAGGGACGCTGTTGTTTTTCATGATCCATCTATGAAATAGTCTATTTTTTACCAAATGCAGAGATGGAGGAACCGAACTTTTATTGCAGCTCAACGAATGTCATACGAAGCTCTCAATATGGAGGACGGCATTCGCCAGAGATGGGAGGGGACAGAATAGCCTCCATGTTTATGTTGAAGGCCCTGTAAACCCTCCATTTTCTGACTCTACAAACCTGTGTTGCTGCTATTATGCTTTTAATTTCATTGCACATTGTTCTCTTCTACCCCCAACACAATGGACGCTGGTTACGTCCCGTAGAAAGGGGCTTTAGCACTGGAATGTGCACCCTACTGTAAAATGTTTACACTACGCTAGGAAATATGCGCAGCAGAGCATGCTGGGAAATTTACCATTTCAGCACTGTCATGCTTCTATTCCCAGCATCCTCTGCTGCTGGCATGACTTGCTGCAGGCTGGCAAGGCATGCTGGAACTTGTAGCTCTGCATCATTTGGAGAAGTACCAGTTGCACACAACAAGTCGCGGGCTTTAGTGTCTTAATGAAGGACAGTTCTTCTCTCCCGATAATCATGCGATTCCTTCCATTCTCCCATAATGCAGTGGGAGCATGAAGGACCCAGTAGCCCTTTTGCATTTTCACGGGTGTGTAAGCTGCTTTTGTTTTGCATTGTTTTAGTCATTAGTTCATGCACATTAACATGTAGGTCAATGCTGAACGTAGAAAAAAAAAAATGGGTAACTTACTGAACATTTTGGGTATTTATTATTAAACGTCTAACAGTAAGTCCCTTAATAACCTACCGGAATCCCCTGTCATGTGATGATTTGTGGCACCTCTTCCTATAATGGAGACCGGGCCGTGCAAGTTGCCTTCTGTGCAGCCAACCAGTCTTGTTACCACCCCTGGCAAGATGATACCAGCACTGTGTGCACTACAGAACACTTTACTAGAGTATCTTCCTAGCAAGAAAGAAGGACCGTGATCATTAGTAATGATAATATGAATAATGATCTTTATTATTATAACATAGTATTTATATAGCGCCAACAGTTTGCGCAGCGCTTTACAATATAAGGAAGACATTACAATCACAATACAAATCAAGACAAGATGGTATGGAGGGCCCTGCCCCTGAGGGCTTATGTTCTGCAGGAGTTCTGCCCGTAAGGGCAGAACTCCTCTCCCATGCTGTAGTGCTGAAAATCACAATGCTGTTTATCACATGACTGCCTTTTAAAGAGACCGTCACCTTACCCATGTAGGGAAAAGTGACAGTTTCTCTGCACATACCACCAACAACCACTTATACTTGCATTGCCAATGCTGCTCCACAGTGATCCACAATACCTGCCACTTCCAGGTGACCCCCACCTTTTTGTCATAGTGCTCGGATCACGCAGCCAATGTGTAGGTCTGAGCACTGTCATGTGATCGGGGACGTGTTACCCTGCTCCTTTGGCTCGCTGACACCAGTCACTTCAGTGCTGGCCCACGAAGGAGCAAGTGGCAAGGAATTGCTTGTAAGCAGAGTATAGGGGAGTCTAGGAGCGGATTGGGTCCCTTGCAGAGACACTGTCACTTTACATGTACAAGGTGACAATGTCTATTAAAGGGAGGAGATGGGGCCTCTCCATGACATTTGTTTTAAATAAAAATGACAGCGGAAACAATGGAGAAATATTATATATTTTTTTTAATATATATA